TCTTTTCTAGGCTACTGTAGAAACATGGCAGCCTCCAGGTGACCTGCAGATAACCAACAGATAAAAAATATTCTTGTTTTCAGGTAATTATACACTAATGAAAACCTTATATTCCATTTCTACCAGCAGGTCCTCCTAAATGTTACACAATGGACCTTTAAATTTTAGATTATTCATACATTATATGCATCATTCTAGACCTTATACATGCAATACCGTGTGATTCAGAGTTGAGAGACTGAGGAACAGAAGGAAAAAAGAAGAGCGTGAGGCTGAATGGAGTGATGAAAACAAGTTTACATTGTGTTTGGCACTTGTGTGCAGAGTGAGATCTATCACAGCATGTTTACCAGCCCTCATGGGCAACGGTCGGCTAATGGCCAAGTTTCCACTGAGGTGCTGTGAACACCCATCTCCACTCACACATACACACACACACATACAGTCAAATGCCACCACCATCATACACACAGACATGCACCTGCACACACTTCCTAACAGTCATTTATCGGCCCATGTGCAAGAACAGGGGCCTTCTAGGATGGACACCCGAGGAACAAACAAGCTTCATTTCTCTTTCGAAACATGGATTCGACCCGATGTCGTTACCCAAACTGTAATTAGTCTGTGCTATCTTGTATTACACAATCAGGACAAAAATGGAGCAGGAACCTACAGCAGAGCCAACTGCATTATGTATGAGTCGAGGTCAATGATTTCAACATCTGCCAAACTGTTCCCATCAATATTCCAATTTAAATCATGTACAATCCAGAGATTCACTGGCCACAGGATTTAGATGTCTAGATACAATTTTATGAATCATATATCTACTTACATCAAAGCCTCAAGACAAAGATGATGAAACAAAGTCAGTACTGTCAACGCAAACTGAAGTTCCCCTCTGATTTATTGAGAAATATAAAAATATGTGATCTATAGCTGCAACCATTAAGCGATTAATCCATCAAGAAGATTATGGCAACAATTGTGTTAGACGATTTGTCAATTTTCAAGCAAACTTGCCAAAAATTTAATGACACCAGCTTGCTTTTTCTTGTCTTACATTATGGTAAACTAAATATCTTTGACATTTGGGCTGTATTAAACAGGCAATTTTCACAGTTTTCTAATGTTTAAAAAAGATCAAATGATGACTTGATTAATAGAGAAAATTATCTGCAGATGAATCGATGATATAGATAATCGACGGCTTACAGTTCACTACAGTCTGCTGTTGAAGGGAAAAGGCTCTGTTTGCCACCTTCCCTCTGTGCTTGTTGGTAAATAACACTGCTCACTCTCCAGAAATGGTAGACTGTAACATACTGTTAATAGAAAAAGGGTTATAAAATGTCACACCAAAACAAGAGTCTATATACAGTACAGTACACATGCAACACAGACAAACACACACAAAGGGGTTTAGCAGATGGATTTCTGAGTTGCATACAAATAAGTTTGTCATTGCCAATTGCAGTTTTGGTTTGATATTTTATTTAATTTTTCCTCATTTTAATGGAAGAAAAAAATGTCTAATTAAATACTTTGGCAGCTTTAGATCTATTTAACAGAAAGAGCAAGCTGTTAGATTTTTAACAGACTTCAAATTACAAATGTATTTGTAAAAAAACAACTAAACATTGAACACTTCTTCAGTCATATTGAAGACAGATATTTAATAAAAATGGTCAAATTGGATACAGATCAGTCTAATCATAATATATGCAAATCATCAGTGGTGGAATGTAAGTGCATTTAATCATCTACTGTACTTGTGTACAATTTTAAGGAATTTGAAGTTAAGTTGAGAATTCCCATTTCATGCTATTTTTGACATCTAGGCCATTACATTGCAGAGGAAAATATTGTACTCCATCTACATTTATTTCACATTAACATCAAAGTTACCCTACCAAAGTATATTTTAAATAAAAAAAAACAAAAAACATGATGAGCTCATAATATATGATGCAGATATAGCTAAACTAGCTCCACCTTGACCAACAGTCAACTGTTGCTTATACATTAGCACATACAGACAGAATATGTGAACACCAGTAGTACTTAGAAGACAGGTATTTAATTCACTAGTGGGGGTGGGAGCACTGCAGTCAGAGAAAGTCAGAAAGTTGAAACACTGCCTCAGATGAATAATGCAATTCCAAGGTTTGAGTGGGAACAGAGGCACACATTTTACTGCATATATATTCAGGGGAGTCAGGAAAGTTGCATGTATGAGTTTTGAATATTTCAGATCAGAGTTTTTCAAAGCTGTTCTGCCACCACAGCTCGCTCAGACCAAGTGGCAGTTAGCTGGCATGGGACGTGCTGCTTGTCTGAGACACTAGACACTATCCGCTTGAGCCTGGGATTTATGCTAACCCAGGGAAACTGCAGGAACTTCTATTCTCTCTCTCTTGTTCTGCGGAGTACAGATTTACTTCCTAAGCCTTCTGAAATAATGCAAAATAAAACTGTAGATCATGGCTTGACACACCAGGCAGCCTAGTGTAATTGGTCTGTGTTTGTTTAA